CGCAGGGACTCACAATCGCAACATTTGAAACCCTAATCTGTCTATCGGTCAATCTCAAGCCGTCACCTTTTAAAGCCAATCTAGTCTCAATTCATTCCCGCTTGTTCTCTCTTTCTGTATATATTGTTTGATTTGCTTTCTTGATTTAGATAAAGTCACAGGTCTATGTTGTCAGCATGATTTAAACTGTGGTGATGCGTTTTTTATTTTAATTTCTAAAACATTTCTGATACATCTCCATCTATATACGTTGTAGTTTCAATCGAAGTCGTAGTCCCGTTTATTTGTTCGTTTAGACCATCATATATTTGATTGGGTCAGATTTATACCGAGTAACAAAAGTTGTTCGTGAGCTATTTGATGGGGTTGTGGATGATGAGATCATATTTTTACACAGTTATCCCTGTCTGATAAATTCGTGATTGATTCTTGTGATCTGACATAGAACCCCATTTAGATTTTCACATGATTTTTCTTGATGAATCTTTTTTATTCTTTTCGTTGTCCGTTTATAACGTTGGTTGGTTGATTGATTGATATACGTTTCGGTATGCCACTTTATAGAAGCTCATAAATTCTGGCGGCGCATATGTTAAGTATATATCACCAAATGAATATACATCTGATTCTTTTGTTAACATCAAGTACACATATGATTGTATGATTGAATTGAACTATAGAATCGATGTATATTCATTTGATGCACTATACTTGATCTATACCAAAGGCTTTGTTTGCTCTTCTCCTAATGATGTACAAGGTATGGTGTTATAAAGTTTGAAACGTTTTTTAGCTAATAGATGTTAGATGAGAGTCAAAAATTGACGAATTATTGATAAAGTGTTATTGTGAGACATATCGATAAATTGTCACATTGTTACCTTTTATGAATTCAAACATGAAGGTCACATTGTATACAGTCTGTAACATTCTAGGATTTCTAATTCACATCTTTATTTAATTGATTTCTTTTTGTTCAAATATTGGCTTATAACAACTCTGAATCTGTAAGTTAATTGATTTTCTAAGTTATCATGTCGACGATTTACAAAACATTGGGGCGAAATATTTGATTTTCGTAAAATCCAATGTCAAATCGTCGTAAATTGAGCCTTTTCTGCATCAAAACAGTTGAGCCTTCCTTCACAGGGAGGATCCTGTTGGTCGGAGAAGGCGTTGTCACATCCTATCGCCTTGGGGAGCAGGTTCTGCCATTACCTCTTGGGATTGGCCGTGAGAAAAACATTTTTGTTGATTCGTCTAAATGTTAATTTTTGTTACATACTTGATTCTATAAATTTTCTTGTTTAATGAAATTAATTTAATAAAATGAATTGGCCAATGACGAGATCTGTTATAAAAAAACACCATCTTTCGGGACTGAATGGCTTTTAAAAAAGCTTTGATGTCTATTCTGCAATACTGAGGCCTTTTTAATAAATATTTCAATTTTATAATTTATACATGATGATGCCATTTAAGATAAAAGCTTTGTGCTTATGGACGGTCAAGTGCTGTTTAGATCTAAACATCAACGAAACTTAACTTTATTCATAAGCTAGATTTAAATGTAGCAATCTTTGTCTTTCATGCTGACTCTGAGTTTTCGAGTTGGCATACATGATGTGGCTAACATTTTTTTTTATTTTCGTTATCTAGATTCGTTAAATCTTTATTCAAAATATATTAGATATATATCATAACAAATTATAAATGTTGTAATGTAACTTAATGTAGATACATCTTCTGTTCAGGAAACCTACTTGTCCTTCAAATGAACTTAAAGTGGCTTGTTGAAAAAATATTGTGTAAAAAGTCTAATTTTTTGGTCGTTTGAGACCATTAAAATGATAAAGTAGAAGTCATTTAAGTCATTTTTATTTTTTTTGGATTGGAAAGGTCCTTTTGTAACTTTGCTTACATATTCCAAATGGCATTCACATGTAAAAAACATTTAAAATTCCCAACTATTTTGTAACTTTGCTTACATATTCCAAATGGCATTCACATGTAAAAAACATTTAAAATTCCCAACTATTTAGTAACTATTTAGTAAGGATGAGGTAAATGGTATCATTAATGAAGAGTTAGGGTTTTATCATGACAAACTTCTCTTTTAATAACAGACTCTTTACTGCTTTTAGGTTATTTCAGTTGGTTGTTAAGAATGGCCACCTGCATGGCAAACAACCCCATTGCTCTTTATTTTAAAGTCGATCTGAACTTTAATCGTCTTTTTGTTCTACACGGACGTTATAGATTATTGTCTACTGATTTCAGATTTGTTGGAATGGATTTTGCTTTCCTACAACGTTCCACTAGAAAAGTGTATGAGAAACTCTACTATTGTTTAGGGACCCAACATATATAAATGTGTATCAGGTTCATTGAAACGATATGGACTATGCCTATTTTATAGATACAACTTTAAGGGACCTAAATCTTCCAATATCCATTTATATGGACCATACCGATGATGTGTGGAGGAGTGGTTCAAATCAGGAACTGATGATACAAGTTTAGTAATACAAGGGGAGGAAGATTGAATCGTTTTAGAAGACATTGCTGACTTTAAATTTGCTTTGGAAGATGATCATCCAGATGTTATTCCTTTAAGCAAGACTTGTGATGATAAGTTCCTTAAAGAATTGTGTCTAGATAAACGAAACAAATAATCTAATGATGATGAAGATATTGGAAATAATAAGGTGGTAGAGGATGCATATGTTGTTGAACATTGTGTTCTCAATCCTAACAACAAAAAAAACTTATTTTAGATGAGATTTAGTAACCCATAATAGCTTAAGTTGTTAATCAATTATTAGTTGCACATTTAGATCGTAGGCATCATAGATAAGTGAATAACATACATTTCAAATCAAATCATTTAAAGATGAGCATCAATGTGCTAGAAACTACAAATTAAAAATAATTGTCAGTTACCAATGAATTGGTGGACTTTGTATAGATAACTAAGATTGGATGTGATTAAGAAATTAGGTATTGATGTCACTTTAAGTCGATGCATAAGAACAAAGAAGCATGCTGATGTTTAAGAACTATTTTAAAATGTTAATGCTAATAATATATGATTTTTTAAATTTATATCTTTAAAAAGTAGTCATTTATTGAATATGTAGTATAATTTAATTATTAATAAAATTTCCCAACTCTTGTATTTAGTTGAAAATTTATTATTTTATTAAAAAAAATATTTTTAAAAAGTGTAAATAACTATTGTATTATAAGGCATGATTTAATATGTTGTATACAAGTTTATTAAACCTTGTTCATTTGTATAATGTATATAAACAATATACATGTTTGTAAAAAAAGATTAAGCATAAGTCCCAAAAGAAGATTCTCACTTAACATCATCACTAAACAACAAAAGATGCTTCTTATAATCTTCACTACTACACAAAACTATACAACATTCCTGATATCCCACCAACATGCACTACTAAACCATTTTAAAGTAGAGGACAATTCATAACATAAAGTAATACCAATTGCCATAAGATTTTTCTTTTTCTTCTTGAACCTCATTATGCAATTCCTGGATACGAACGACAAACTTTCGTGCTTCTCTACCTTAAGCCGAGCAACCTCACCAATGTTAGTCATGACCTCGACTCTTCTTCAAGCCACTTGATAAAATCATAGCTGTCAGGAGAAATCTACATAAAAGCACCAAAAAAATAAAAATTTATGGTTTTTACTAGCAAATTGAAATTAGGGTTTTTCTGATTAACATTAGCATTTTTTCAAACAAAATTAGGGTTCTAGTGTAGGATTAAATGTAGTAGCTTCGATTCAAGTTGTAACTTACCATAGACTTTATGTGGTTTAAAAAACGCATGGAAGGATTAGTAACCTTCCACGATTCATGTCGTCTTGCAAGAGGTTCTACTGGACATAAGCAAGGCTGGGAACTCTCGGCGCTAGACACAATTGTCGTTGGGTGAAAAAGATAACGATGTCATTTTAGTTAGAGACAAAGTTTGTAAAAGATGAATGATATTTCAAGAGTGAGCTGCTCAAACCCTTGGTGTAGTTTCTTTAGCAATGCAAGGTTTAAGACAATGGGACAACTACGTATCTACATGGCCTCATTAATCGAGCTCATACTTGTCTAAAATGTTGACTTACCTTGAAGCATGATAAACCTTCTATTTTTTCTTTATAGCAGGTTATTTTTCACACTTTAATGGCCTCAAAGGACCTAAAAATTAACGAGGGGCCAATTAAAATCGAAAGGAAGACTTCATGGTGATGTCATGTTAAAACACTTAATTTTACATTACTTTATGAATGATCAAAATTATAATTTAATAAAGAGAAATTAAATTCAAACTACATTGATCATTTTCCCACTATCCGCATTTCGTGCCTGAAAGTACATGGGTAAAGCCCATGTTATGTCAAAGTAATTTCATAAAGTTAAAACCATTTTCAAATTTAATCAAAGTAATTTGATCGCCGATACTAAAGTCATTTCATGCTTGATACTAAATAGAAAACCTAATTTTGTAGAAGTAAAAACATTTCACAAAGATGATTTCACGAAACACATGATTATTTGTAATTTTGGTTACTTTAATATATATTTTCATTCTCTAACAAAATATCAACTCTAAATGGTTACAACAACAAATATGTCTACATGCCAAAGAACTCATTGCCCAACAATATATAATATTGATATGATGCTCTCAACACAAGTGGTTTAGGGTTCATGTCCGGTATGTGGTATAATTTAGAAGTAGATTAGAAAATATGAGTCCTTGTTCTAAAAAAAAACAAATGTCTACATAACTTACATCATAAATAACTCAATACTCATTGATCGTAGTCATCAGAAGTGCAGAAATCAGCCATTAATACAACCCTAAATACATGAACCGATCCTTTCAACATTTCTGAATCTAGACCTTCAACTTCAACCACACCAAAATAAGGTGTTGTGATATTAATTAATTATTTATCAAACATTATTATTACTTAATGGTAATGTACCGATTTGTCCCATGCTTAGCCCAATGCTCCTTCAAATCAACAGGATTCGATAAATCATGACCTTCAGCAGCAAGTCGACTTATTAACTTATTGAAAACACTTCCACTCATTTTCCTACCACCAACACGTGCATGTCTTTTATTAGGAAGCGATGGGAGTGGATGCATAGACATGGTGGTGGTGCAACAAGAAGACTGCCATCCACCATTCCCCCATTTGTAACACGGTCTAAAAACTCCGGTACACGAGCACACCGGAATCGGCATCGTCGATTCATCAAACGCAACGTGATTCAGCCCAAGATCTTGGTCTTTCCATTCCGACTTCAGCCCACGGTTCAAATCATCAACCCCACCACCACCACCGCCGGAATCATCTCCCCCTTTATTCCAATCATGGGGTTCCTCAAACATTGCCTTGTTTAAATCATCGCATTCCATTTTCACCTTTTTGGACATTCTTGATGTCTTCTTCGCCGGCGGTTTTGTCTCCTTTACACGTTTCACCCGCCGGGATTTTGGTTCCGGTGCGGACGTCGGAATGGAATCGCCAATTCCGCCGCCCATTTCGTGGTGTTGGAGATACGCGTGTGGGTGGTGGACGTGTTTCACCGAACGTGAGATTTGGCATCCGGGCGGGCATGGCGAGGGGGTATTATTGGAATTATTATTGTTGTTATTGTTGTTCATGGAGTTTTCTCTGTATTGGAGAGTGGTAATGGCGTTGTCGCGTTCCATGATGGCGGTATTCCGTTCGGCAATGGCGGAATCGCGTTGGAGGAGTGCCATGTCCCGCTCAGCCAGGGCGGCTTTTTTCTCGGATATTGCCAGATTCCGTTCTTGGATGGCGGCATCGCGTTCCGCCATGATTGTCATTATTTGCTTCATTGATGGCTGATGTTGCATTAACCATTGACCCTGTGGCGGCTTTTGCCGACCGTTTTCACGGTGCCCACTTTCATCCATCTGAAAAGGGTGTAATCAGTGATTCCGGAGTATCAACCTTGGATATTCATGAAGCTTTTAGCCAACCTAGAGCCACATTGTAACGCAAACATTTGGTCATATGAAAATGTAAAGTAATTGAACTCTTTGGAATTGTACTGCGTTTGACATGCATTGATACAGACATAACTCATGTCTTTAGGACAAAAAGATTGTAGTTTTATCTCACCTATAAAGGTTGGACACGGATTCACTGTCTGAAAAGTTTGTCATGTTCGGTCTTGGATAAACTTTTTGGACAGTTATGTCTTAATCAATGCATGTCAAACACAGTATAAAGTATAACATTGTCTGTCTTGTTATGTGTAAAGAATGGAGCTTTAAAGATTGTTTCTTGAATCATACCACTGTACTACAATGAGAATTCATATTCTGTTATGCCCTCTCTATGCAATGCCTTCATTGTTGGGCTCTGATTAACTTAGGAAAAACATGCATCTATTAATAAAAAAAAATCATTAGCCATGTGAAATAATCTTTACCAAGAAACGGAAGTTTGCAGACTGAAAAATTTGATGGAAATTATTTGACAAATCTTGTGGTAAAAGACAATAAATTTTGAAATATTTTGATAGAAAAAGCTCAAGGAAGGCGACTCTTCAGCTTGTGTATATGCAAGTTCATAGGATGTACAGAAGTACAGAACGAATTATTCTTAGTGGATTCGAAATACGTTAAACAAAAAGATCCATAGAATTGCAATCTGTGCAGATATCAATTTCGAATTTATGGTAATGTTTCGATTTCGATTTGAGCTAATCACCTAAATTTTAGGCAAAAATATCTGGGTATTATCAAGTAACATCAAGAACAGTAAGAAATAGATAAAATTCAGCTAAAATTTCGTCAAACAAACTAAAAAAATCTTAAAAGTAATCTACACCCAAACCTAAGAGCTGAACTTGGAAAAATATGAAAATTAGCAGTTAAAAATCTAAATTCAGTCTAGTCAAGCAATTAAATCGCAGAAAGTAGAGATAAGTAGATCATCACTCGTATACAGATGATGAATTAAGCAGTAAACAGTAAGAATTCAAAGCTGGAGCTCAGGAAATCACTTACAGAATCAAGTCTGGCTAAAAGCTGTGAACAAGTAAAGGAATCAGAGGACAAGAAAGAAAAAGAAAGTGATGAGTGATCGAAGCATGGATGGGTAAAAACCCTAAAAAGGTAGAAGAAGAAGAAGAAAGAAAAGGGGAAAATATGAAAGAATAGTTGGTGAAGAGGCAAAGAAGAATGACCACTTGATTTTAATTTTGCGAAACCATCTTTTTCGTTGTTTGTTTTTATGCTTCTAAGATTGTGCTTGTGGTACAGTGATGCTAGGAACACCGATGGTGTTGGTCCACCGAGTGAATCCTCTTCCTCAGCCGTCTGATTTGCTCGATAGTGTTTGTGTATATGTGTGTGTGTGTCATGAGTTGGGATAAACAACTTTGAAAATCTCAGTCAATTTTGGTTTTATTTCTATGGCTCAATTCAACAAATATCAATCCATTTTCATTTTACCTTTCTTATAATTGTGCATTCTTTTCTTATAACATATTTTTGTAGACAAAGTAGTTAAATAATAACATATATCTTTTTAATTTATAAAATTTGATGGTTGTGTTTTTATACCATCTCCAACAAGTTTTGTGTTTCAAGTCGTGTTAGACCGGTGGGAGTGGACGCGGTAGAGACCGCACTTCGGGTGCCACCTAAGCTGGAACATCGCCCCCCACCGCAGTTTGGGTGCGGCTAGGGCCGCACTACAGCAGCAGACGGGAGCATTCCTTGGGTGATTGTGATTGGATGACGTTCTTACCATTTGGAACACAACCAATGAATTTTTATTTATTAAAAAAAAACTCAAGTGTGGCACCGCTCCTTGGGTGTGGTATGAAACCACATTTTTATGGTAAATGGTGAGACAGCGCCTACGTGGCGCTGCGGTTTCATGAGGGACGTGGCGCTGCGGTTTCATGAGGCACCACTCCCTCTAGCTTTATATCGATGCAAACATTCATCATCAATCTAATATCTAGATTGGTGATGGATTCATGAATTTTTTCATTCGGGGTATTAGTTATATGATCGGATTGGATTAATATTATCTTCTTTTGTGAAAAAAAAAGAGAAAAAAAATGATACATAATCTACCAAGACAAAATTGCAAAAATGGTCCCCGTGGTTGGCAAATTGATGTGCTTTTGGTCCAAAACGAAGCGTTGGTGCACCACTGGTTCAAAATTGGATCTTTCTATCGTTTTTGGTCCATATCTACTTAAAAAGACCATTATGCCCTTATAGTTTGTTTTTCCATTTTTTATTTATATTAATGTTTTCAGCTAATTGAAAATACAAACAAACAAACACACACACACACACACTCTCTCTCTCTCTCTCTCTCTCTCTCTCTCTCGCTCTCTCTCTCTCTCTCTCTGACTTGTGAAAGTCAAATGGACTTATGAGGAAACATGCTAAAGCACTTTCCTTCCCTGATCAAATTGAAGCCATATACAAGTGAATGAAAGAAAATTAATCAGTTCTTCTTTTTCTCCTCGTAACCATTTACCACCTCCATCTTCTTGAAATGGTGTTAAATATAGGGCATAACCCTCTAAAGCCTCACGAATCTACAACCCCAATTCATCAGTTCTGAAACACCACCATTTTCACCCCCCTTACCCCACCATCGGACCACCTTGCACCACTCACAATTAACCAAAATCACCACCAAATACTACCCAACCTTGATGTTTTCTGTTTACCTTTCTTCCTTCACTGACGAGAACAAGCACCACCAAGGAGTAGTGTTGTTGTTGTAACCATCGAACACCACTAAAAATCACCATCGATGGCTTTTGACCACCGTGAACCACACCAATAACCCACCACAAACTCAACCTTATATCCCCTACAGTTAGATTAATCAAACACTACCCAAGCACCCTCAAACAACACCAGTCGCCATCCACAGTTCCTCCAACCACCTCCTCCCACCAAGGTTGCCGGAAAAACGAGAAAGAAGGAAACCCGAAAACCCATTGCCACCATTCTCCATAACTGCTATTGTCGAAATCGTTTCCCTTTCATCTCTAACTCGTCACTTCCATCGAGCAGAAGCAGGAACGAAGCAGCAATAGATCGCCAGAGCAGCCTCCTGTCGCACGTCGCCACCAGCTACCGCTGCAAATTTCTGAATCAAAATCCAAATCCGGATAAATCAGATCTAGTTGAGAGGATACGAAGTCGATTTCAAGGATATGCGATTGACATTCCCCTCCTAATTTGAGTGGTCGATGACAGCGGCTTTAGGGTTCTTCAGTTGACGCTAACAAACCCTCATTCAATCTTCCTTCTTTAAAAAACAATCGTTTATTCTCTCTTAAAAAATTTCAAACAATCTCTTCACAATGTCCCCTTAATCCTAACCCGAGAGGAGAGAGAGAGAGAGAGAGAGAGGAGAGAGAGAGAGAGAGAGGAGAGAGAGAGAGAGAGAGAGAGAGAGGAGAGGAGGGAGAGAGAGAGGTGAGAGAGAGAGAGAGGAGGAGACAGATGAGAGGAGGAGAGAGAGGAGAGAGAGAGAGATAGAGGGGGTGTGGGGTGGGGGTGGGGGTGGGTGTAGTAATTTCTTTTTCTTTTTCTTTTAGTTAAAATAATAATAAGTTAAATAAAATAAGTTAAAATGAAATATTTAAGGGCATATCGGTCATTTCAGGTGAGGTATGGACCAAAACCACATCAAAATACCAATCATAGGGACCAAAAGCACACAAAATATCTGAAATTGGACCACTGATACACCAACGTTTCGTTTTGGACCAAAAACACATAAATTTGCCAACCACAGGGACCATTTTTGCAATTTTGTCATCTACCAACAACAAAAAGACAACAATGTATATGCAAACGAATCTATTTTTTTAATTTTTTTATTTCATGTAACAAAATAACATAAAATAAATCATAAATTTCATAAATTTAACAAACACAAAATACTCACCACCCTTATGCTCAAAATTACAAAATCGAAATACATATGTTTGTCTATATATTTGCATCTTTAAAAAAAATAGATGTGCTGTTTAGTTTTCATTAAAAATAGGGTGTTACTGTTCAAAAATCTTCCAAAATTATATATTTAAAAGTTTACTAACGCCGATGAAATTGTGATTTGTTTGCTACATGGATGCCAATAACACCATATGAAACATATAACCGCTTAAGCCGATTAGAATTTGACAAAATGACCTCTAGACACCGCTTTTGATGTATCATCAGGAAAGAGTGGAAAGGATATACCCATCGGTCTTATCCTCACAAATCACAATGTCGAAGAAAACATGTTTGTCTATGGATTACATCTTTTAAAAAAACTGAACGTGTTTTTCAGTTTTCATTATAAGTGAGGTGTTACGTTTCAAATTCTTCGAAGTTACGCATATTTAAAAGTTTACAAAGGACAAAACTGCAAAAATGGTCAATGTGGTATGCATTTTTTCTGAAGTTTAGTCCAAACCTTGATTTTTTGGATTAGTGGTCATTTGAACACGTTTGTACGTGGTTTTGGTCCCTCGGCAAACAAAAAAGACTAAAATGCATTTTTATTTTTATTTTTACATTTTTTAATAATTATTTTTATATTTTATAAATTAAAAAACAAGAGAGGACTCTCTCTCTCTCTCTCTCTCTCTCTCTCTCTCTCTCATCACCATCATTTACTCCGATCACCGATCAAATGGATTCAACTTCATAGCCACATTCCTATACATCTCATTGGACCTCTTCCTATCAACACCATAAACCATTGTTTTTGTCATTCCTTATTCCACCATTTCTAACCTCTCAATCCTTCCTTACATGACCAAACACCTCCTCGTCTACCACATCTCGCTGGTTAAATTAACACTCCAAGATCTGTTCAAAAAACTCATAAAAACCTGCTCACTAACCTTCATTCAACACCATAAAGTTTC